TCCTTTCCTTAATTATGACCTGCTTTTTTTTATTGTGTTGCATCTAGCTGCTGACTCGGATTAAAATGAACTCTTCACTTAGGTTCCTCAAGATTGTGTTTCACGGTAGAGGAGAATACTTTCCAAATTGCACTGTTGTTTTTCAGATCAGAAAGCAGCTAGAACATCAAAACTTATTAGTAGAGAAGGTTTTGTGCAACTCCCAGAGGGAAAAACAGCTGATGTCTCTTGTGATACCTATGTCAAAATCAAGGCCTGAATCTGTATTTTATTCCACATAGTCTGCAGTTAGAATTGAATATTTGCCAGTCTCCCAAGCTAAAGGTGACATGGAGCAGCTTTTGCTTTCTTGAGTTCCCAAAACAGCTATCTTAAAATTAATCCAGATGAGGCTCAGGTGATACAGGAGGTAACACAGAAGTGAAAAGCTTCTGTCTTGCCTGGTGTATAACTCATCTAAGCCTAGGATTCCCAGCTGGGCTGCAATATCACCATTGTGATATATTGCCACTATTGTCAATACTGCACTTTGTGTTTTCATCTATTGAATCCTATTTAATACTCAGAAATCTCAGTTAACACTGAAATCCAATTTTCTGGTAGGTCCTAGGGATTGAAGTTTGACTCCTGCTGAGACAGGACAGAGCAGTTGTATGGTGGTATGTTTCTGCCTCTTCTTGTTGCTTGAAACTTTGTGTCCTCATAACTGTCTCCAGGACACAGTCTATCATGCTGAACATGTGCACTGGTCCACTTTTTTACCAAGTGGATAACCTCACTCTTAGATTGGCCTAAATCATGATATACTTACCACAATAATTTTCATCATTACTGAGGAATTTCACCATGTGCAGTCCCGACAGCCTTTACTTTGTGTCTCTCTCCAGGGTTCATTTGACATCTCCTATTTTTCCCCTCTGTCTTGATGTTTGATTAAGAGTTTACATAACTGTACTGTGATGCTAATTGCATTATCTCTGAGTAATCCAAGACGTGCTGACTGACATTTGATTTTCAGTGGAATAATAACTGGGGAAGAGGTCTACTTTGTCTTCACAAATATTATATTCAGATCAAACATATATTGTCATATGTTACGACTGTAGTTTGTGCAAGGATAAGCTAGAAAGTTCCTGAAAGATGGAAAATAATACTTAATTCCTACGAAGTGGTGTCAGGGTGCTTGGCAAAGCAGTGCAGGTATGTGGCACAGAACTTGGACTTGCACACTATGGAAGGAAACATAATGAGGCTGACAGAAATCCAAGAGGATAACTTATAAGGAACTGGGAAGTTCCTTTCCAGCTCCTGGAGAGAAATCTGGGTTAAAGCTTTTTAGGGATGTTAACTGTTCCTGATGTCCCAGGAGCTCAGTTAGGAGTCCAGAGTCCTGAGCTGAAGTGTGTTTTGTTAGAGAGCAAGTGCAAATCCATGCCAGAAATTTCCTCAAAACACGATTCTTCCATATGGCTTGTGGGAGATATCTAGGCTATGTTTTGACCTTATATTTCAGGCTCTGTTGCTGCTCACCATGGAAATAAGTGGGGAAATGCTGTTCGTAAATAAACACTGGTACCTTTGAGTCAACTGCATCACCGGACAGGTGATTAAGAGTGTCTGAAGTGCAGAGCTGCAGCTCTGGGAAGGAAGCCAGGCAGTCAAAAGTGTATGGGGAGACAGAAAGCTGGATAGCAACACCTGTATAAGGTCATAGAGAAAGGCTAAGCTTTATAAGATGAAGATACGCGGGGATGTGTCTTTTCTAACACTTGATTTTGGTTTTATTTTCCTCCCCTGGCTTATTAAGTTCCAATGAACAAATAAAATATGTTCTCTTTCAGATGTAGTTCAGCTGAGTCATTCCATTTCATAACAGTCAGAAGTGCCCAGAAAGTTTGTTGTAGCTGGATTCAGGCCCATTGAGACTTGCTCAGATAAAAATACTCAGTGGAAAGGGGAGTGTTTAGAGCTTCCTAACCCAGCCTGCCTTTGCGAAGAACAAAAGCTGAGTCCCTTTGCTGGTAGAGGCTGCACAGGGAAAATAACAGAGTAACCTGAGTAAGGCTCCCCATACACTCATCACTCCTTCATGAGAAGATGTTCTCTGCAGATATGTACATCTTTAACATGTGGGGAGTTTTGTTGTTTGTTTTTTTTTCCCAAACACATTTCAGAATCCAAGCCAGCTGCTACAGCTGCTTCCCTTCAGCAAAACCGCTTCAAACCATATTGAGGTTTTGTGGCTCTTCGTAGCTGTGAGCATACTCACAGCCAATTTCCTCACATTGCAAGGTAATTTTAGCAACAGCTGATTCCAAGTGGTTCCACAAATATCCTCATTTTTTTGTCTCCCATTTGTTTACTCCTCAGTTCTTCCTTCCAAACACATTGTTCCATCCCGTTAGCATAGCAAAGTGAGTTTTGTGTGCCCCAGCTAGGGTATATCAGTGCTAGTGGAGGAGAGTGGAGGAATGCTTGAGGACAGCACACTCTAGACTTTAACCCAGTCCTTTCTGTTTCCTAGAATGAAGGTTTCAGGTTGGAGCGTGTGTTTTCAGAGGCCTATTGCTTCTTTTCATGCCTGTGGTCTGAGCATTGAACATCAGCAGTCAGAGCCTGCAAACAGCCTCATGCATTAGGAAATCTAGGCTGTGCTGCTTGTTTACTTTGAGTGTAAATGTCATCTTGGCAAGTGATCTCCCCTCTTGCATACACAAAGTTTGTAATTTGATTGCTGAGCTTAAATGGCATAGGCTGGGTAATGAATTTTAAAGTTTGTGCTTCTGTTCTTTAGTGACCCTTGTGCACGTGATGTGAAAGCACAAACCAAGCTGGTGGTTTTTGAAGCTCCTTTCAGGTGTTCAATTACAGTGTCAAGCTAATCAGAGTGATTTGACATTTTGATATTGAATAGATGAACTAAGGAGAAAAAAATTTATTATTCTATTTTTTAATGAAGACAGAACATGGACTAGTCTAAATAATGGCTCCTGGCTATGGCATCTTGTTGGAGGGTTTACTTGCATTGTTCAGTAATAGCAGTTACTACTACTACTGTGCTGATGTTTTAGACCGACACAATATTTTACAAATAATGAGTGCCAGAAAAATAGATTGATATTTGGCAGTTAATACTGTTCTATGCCTTGAAAGGAAACTCAATTTATTTTTTTTAAATGAAACTAAAACTTCCACAATAAATCATTATGACATTAGTAATAATTAAATTTTTCCATTTAGGTCGTATATAGACACTCTTTGCGTTTTTTTTTTTTTTCATTTAAGTGATTTGGGAAATAAGAAAAGCCCAAAGTGTCCTGATGCCTGATAGAGATGGCATTCCACAATAAATGGGAAAAGTTATAGAGAAAACGCATGTTTACAGGGGGAAAAGTAGCAAAAGGTTAGTAAATGTATCCAGCTGTAAGGTTGTGAGAATAATTTTCATGTTGTGTCTGATGTGGCTTTGAAATCTACCTCGGAGGCATAAAATCAGAGGTGTGAAAAGGGTTGCTTTCCATCACCACAGCTGTCTTGTTTTTAGTAGGAAACTACAATTTGTAAATTCTTTCTCACTTGATTTGTCAGTCATTGCTGAAGTAATCTGTGTGATTTCATCATATTATCGGACAAGAATTAATAAAATGTAGCATCAGTGTTCTTGATGTTATATTTCTTTGACTACAGTGTATTTTATCTACAGCACAGGTGTGTCTTTGTGGTTTTCGGTTACAGTAGGACTAGTACTACTTGTTACAAGTGTTCCTCCTTTATTTAGTATGGTGCCATCATTACCTTAGTTCCTTGGGGAACATCCCTTTTTCAAAGGAAAATAAATTCAATCACAATCCCACTCATATCCTTTTTGTGGGATTACTTTTTTTTTTTTGTTACATATTTCCACATCCCTCTTCAACGAAATACAAAGTCAAGCTCTGCTTTACATTGAACACTTTTAGCAAGCCCTTTGTCTCAGGTAGTCTGACTGTGAAGTGTTTTAGTTTTATGAGAAACCTTTTCTAGTTACCTCATTGCTACACTGGTGAAAAAAGTGGTGTGTCCTTTAGAGAGCTTTCTCAGTGTTCCCAGTGATGGATGCAGTGTTTTCCAGCTGAGACTGACCAGGTGTTTATAACACCAGGAAATGGGCATGACGGGGTCTTCAAAATCACACACTTTTGGTGTAGAAGGTTTTCAAACTTTACAAGCTGGGCTGTCTTCTATGGGTGTGGCGAAAGCATTTTATGGTAATTTTGTGAATTTTTTTTGTCAGCTTTGTAGACTGAAATGGATCAAACCTGAGAACCAATCTGTATAATGAATATAGCCTGCATTTGCAGTGTTGTGCTGAAGTGTGGATTTGGGCTGAGGGATGGCTGTGTTTTGCCAGTGCTTTGGAGCATGAGCAGTTGAACTCTACTTCTTTACAGGCAATAAAGTGTACTGCTAACAAATGCTCTATTGGATGAGCCTCTAGTGCAGTGTGTGCTCAGGAAAAAACTCTTAGATTGAATTACTTTGAATTTATCAGTAATGAATGATAAATCTTCTCACTCGTTACAGTTAGTGGTCTTTTCTTTGGCTGGGTACTAGGCACCCATATTTAGATGGACCCCCATACACGGTTCAGCATCTGAGGAAGCTGCATTTCAACTGCTCCTCTTGTCTCCCTTCAGACTGTGAATCCTTTTCTTCCTGTGCTGATGGATATAGAAGGGCCCATTCTGTAACTTCAACCTAGGGGTTATCTCTGTAGCTGTCCTCCTTAGAACACAGTTTCTTGCTTACAAAGGAGAAAGTGCTTGGAGGGAGAGAATTTCACAGGGCATCTCCTCTGAAAGTCAAGAAGGAGTGAGCAGAGCCTCCACCCAGCAAACGGTGCACACATCAAAACAGTGATCCTGAGGTCATGTGCTTCTTAAAAGAAGCAAATGAAAAATGATGCTCTGAGATCACAGCCAAGGCATTTGCCTCATATTTGCTCCTCAAATTCCTTCTAGATGCCTTTGTGTGACAGATTGGTATGAAATTCCAGATCTGCCAACAGCTGAGGAACCTCACTGTGTAGCTGCAATATGTGCACAGTATTTAGTTTTAGGCTCCTACTTTTGAAGGCTGGGTGAAATTCCGGAGTTCTAATTTCAAGGTATTTATGATTTTCTTACCCTTCTTCCTCTGGGCTGAAGTCATAGTTTGTACCACATTTAAAGTTTCCAGGCTTATTGCCAGCACTAATATGTCGTTTCAGTAGAGCAGCCAAGCTGGTTCTGCCAGAGCCTCTGAAATGGCCTGTGCATCTGTTAGGGAGAACGAAGCAGCTATGGGCCACATCTGGTATTTGATGCCTTTTCGTCACAACAGATTCACTGAGGCCCCAGCTGGACCTGACTTCCACTGTGCAAAGTGTTGAACAGCGAGGAACATCACTGTTCTGGAGAGGCTTCCTGGGTGGAGATACAAAATGGGTAGAAAGGACACCAAAAGAGTGTTTAAGGAGTGCTAGAAATCTGTGTAGTTTTCCTCTGGAGTAGACCCCACTGCCTGGGAGCCTGGACATTCTGAAGGGAATGCAGCAAGACCCCACGTAGAGCAGTTGGCTCTGACATCACTGATAATGACGGTAATATTTGCTACTTGAAGCTGGGGTGAAATGGTTTTATTTCTTTAACCATCTGTTTGCAATAGATTCTCACCTTCTTTTTCTTTTATCCACATATTACTTTTATATCCACATGCCACATTTTGCTGTTCTAACAACTTCTCAAAAGATTGCTATTTTTAGACTTGTAATAATGGGTGTATGCATGACTCCTCAGCTGGCAAGCAGCTTGTTAACTCAGATTGGTGCCTGGTTCTTGCCTTTTTTTTTTATATATTTTGAGTCAACTATACATTTTTGAGGTAGAATACCTGAGATAAAGCAGAAGTGCATGTATAAAGCCAAAGGGGAGGTCAGGAACATCCAGTTTTCATTATATTTTTTCCATTTTCTGTTGAGTGATCTTAGGTGTGTTGGACTTGCTGGAGATATAATTGAACTATTGCACTGCACAGATTGCCTGATATTCGGTAATCCTGTAAAAATGACTGAAGTCAGTAATAAAATGTATAAACAGTAGGACACTGAATTAGTCTTACAGGGAACAAGTCGGTGTGTCAAAGTTGTCAGGAGGGTTCTCACTTCCTGGCATATTATGTCTGTTGAGCTGTGGTTTTCTGCTGTAATGAAGACACTGGAATTATGTAAAATAAGTTAGTTGGCATAGTGTGATGAGAGCTCTTCAGTAAATAATCTCACAGCACAGGAGGTCTGGGGCATAGATAATTTGCTCCAGCCACCCATCGGCATCTGACAAACTGGTTAAGTTAGACAGGTAGATTCCCAGCAGGAATCTGGTTCTTGCTGTGGGTACATGAAGTCTAGGAGCCTGACCTTAGGTAGTGTGAGTAGATCTTCCAGCATGCATATCACTTAAAGTAAACAAGGGAGAGTTCTGCCTATGATTGTCTAGAAGATAATTACGTTCTTTGAATTTTTCATTTACTTACATATAATACACTTTTCTTTGTCCTTTTTGACTGCAGCTTAATAGAATCAGATGAAGTACTAATTAAGAAGAATACCTATTGGAAATGGTTGTCCCCTTTCAGAAGCAGCTAAAAAGAAGTACCTAAACACCTAGAAGCATGTGGCTTCTCTGGCAAGGAGATGGAAAAACACCAATTTTGAGGCAATGGTCAAAACCATGGTAAAAATCCAGAGGAGTAATGAAGAAAAGTAACAGTTCCCAAAAAGGAGAATTGTTTCTTGTGTATGGCTGTTACAAAATACAAATGTATGCTTAGGGAATAGGTGGGTCATCAAAACCACAAAAGTGAATTTCTGCTATACATATTTTTTTGCATCTTCCAAAACATTTGGTATCCTCTATGAGTTGCAATATAAACCATTAAATAGATGGCTGATTTCATCTGCTCTGTCAAGCAGCTTCTCTTTATCTATATTTTCCTTTAAAAAGACTGGGATTTCCTTCAGCTTTCCAGTTTCACTGAGTATTTTGTCATGCTTTCATTGCAAAGTCAAGCCAAGTTCATCATCAGGGATACAAACCAGAGGAGAGAATTAAACCACCAAAATCCCTCTCACCTAGTGCTTAAAAGTTATCTCTCTATGTCAGTTTTGTTTAAATCAGATATGACTCGCTTTTTCTCACTTGCTCCACGTCCACATGCTGACACCAATTTGTTCATATTTCATTCTTTCCTACAGGGTTTTTCAGCTGCTGTTTTCCAACTAACATCTTCCATGAACTGTTGCTTTCCTTCCTCTTTTAGACAAGAAACTGATAAATTCTCTTGACATTTGTTCTTATAGGTGCCAGTCTTGAAAAACTGCCAGTACATTGCAGCTAGGAAAAGGAGATGCTTTCACATCAGTAGGAGAACGGTTATTGTTTTAGAGACATTTGTAGTGAGACATTTCATTGCCATCTCTAATAGGCCGTGTGGAACCCTTGTTCTGTGGTAATAGAACTAAATAAAAAAAAGGAAGTAGTGGAGATTTAATGATAAAAGAAATA